ATATTATATCAACATTTGACTAGGAACTAGACTATCCTCACATAGGGTTTCAAATCTGTTTGGCTGGAACATTTCACAAGTATGCTGTATTAATTACAAGGAACAATGAGGTTATTCAAGATAATAAATAAAAATCTAAAAGATAAAAGCATCGACCATAATTCTCTTTAATATACTTTGCTATATGCATAGTGATACGAGAGAGACAGCAAATATCACCCAATGGTCACTAGAGCCACATTCAAAAAGGCCTAATGCAACGGGCACTGGCATCAATAGAAAGAGTCCCATTGACTTCATTGGGTGTTGGATCAGGCCCCAAAAGATAACTTCTATTATTGGCTATTAGCAAATGAACTTGATGATGGTTTTGGAGTATTTCTCTGACAGAGTCATATCATTCCAACCGTTTTTAAACCCCATTGATTTCATTGTGGGAGTTCTCCTTAAAAAAATTGATGGTGCAACATGGCCCGAAAGCCAGCATTGAAATCTTATTCCCCAAACAAACTATGTTAAAACAAGTTCAGTTTGAAAATGTGTTTAGTGGACTCAAGCTAATGCCCCAAAATAATATTTTATTGTATAAACATTCTACACCTTTTAAGAAACCCAAACATGAGTATGTCTGAAAAAGAAACACTTTGGGAATGCCTTTGCCATATAATCTTCCATAATTTACTACTATCCCAGACAAACCTAGACAATCCAGAAAGCCTTAACTTTGTCCTTTCATTTTGTTCCGCAATGGAAATATGCCACTGAGTGCATACAATTAATGTATACAGTCATTGTTATTATAATTATTTATTATTCATTAATATTTAACAAAAATTTCCAAAGGAAATTCTACAGTGCGTTAAGTTTTGTGCTATAATTTCAAATGTGATGTACTTATGGAGAATAGTTTTAGAAATGGAATTGGGATGGTTGGTTGGTTTGGTGGTATGGAATGTGTGATTACCTGGTGTTGTAGGTTTATATAAGTGTACGTAGATGCTGGAAGTTTGTATTTTTCACTGTACTGCATAGCTATTAATGTAATTTATTTGTAATGAGTGTTTGTTAGTGTTACAATACACTGGACATAGATCCCTTCAATAGGCAAGTGGATCGTATCTCCTAGTAATTTGTTATTTTACCTATATGTATAATTTTGAAAATTGAAAGGGCAAAGCAATAGTTATATAGATGCTGCAAATCAGGTGAAATGATGAGTGAAGAAGGACTATATGGCCACCAGAAAGTGGTGCGATTCATTAACTGTTTCCTGCCGTAAAGGCTTTACACTCTAAAAGATATCAAACAAATGAGTGTGTGGAGATGGGGTACAAACAAGTAATCTGGTGAAGATCTGGCACAGCTTTGTAAGTTACAAGTACTGTTTTGTTTTCACTTTTTTAACTTGGGGATAAAGGTGGGTTGAGGAGGAAGGCCAGAAATGGGGAGGAAAAGGAAGGAAGGGGAAGAGGGACAGTCGCAGCTCACCACATGACTAGCCATGCTCAGCACGCTGGGGTTTGTAGGTGTCTTGGCAGAGTTGAGCCTTAAGGAAGGAGTAGAAAGAGAATATAAGCAAGAGGCTGTTCAGATTTGATCAGAGTTTTTCCCAGGCAGCCTGGGAGAAGGCATTTTGGTGTTAAAGGGAGGAGTTGACTGTGGGGCAGTACAGACTGGGATTGGTAAGTGAATGAAGGCAGAGGCTGGGGCTGTTTGTCCAGCTGGCCTGAATAGGGCCCTCCTGGCTCCTGTTTATCCTGCCACTGACTTCTTTATTCCAGCAATAGCAGGAGCAGAAACGATTGCTGGATGGTTGCTAAGGGTATGTCTACACAACGGAATAAGGTCGAATTTATAGAAGTCGGTTTTTTAGAAATCGGTTTTATAAATTCGAGTGTGTGTGTCCCCACAGAAAATGCTCTAAGTGCATTAAGTGCATTAACTCGGCGGAGCGCTTCCACAGTACCGAGGCAAGCGTCGACTTCCGGAGCGTTGCACTGTGGGTAGCTATCCCACAGTTCCCGCAGTCTCCGCTGCCCATTGGAATTCTGGGTTGAGATCCCAATGCCTGATGGGGCTAAAACATTGTCGCGGGTGGTTCTGGGTACATATCGTCAGCCTCCCATTCCCTCCCTCCCCCCGTGAAAGCAAGGGCAGACAATCATTTCGCGCCTTTTTTCCTGAGTTACCTGTGCAGATGCCATACCATGGCAAGCATGGAGCCCGCTCAGGTAACCGTCACCCTATGTCTCCTGGGTGCTGGCAGACGCGGTACGGCTTTGCTGCACAGTAGCAGCAACCCCTTGCCTTCTGGCAGCAGACGGTGCAATACGATTGGTAGTCGTCCTCATCGTGTCCGAGGTGCTCCTGGCCGCGTCGGCTGGGAGTGCCTGGGCAGACATGGGCGCAGGGACTAAATTTGGAGTGACTTGACCAGGTCATTCTCTTTAGTCCTGCAGTCAGTCCTATTGAACCGTCTTATGGTGAGCGGGCAGGCGATACGGACTGCTAGCAGTCGTACTGTACCATCTTCTGCCAGGCAGGCAAGAGATGAGGATTGCTAGCAGTCGTATTGCACCATCTTCTGCCAGGCAGGCAAGAGATGGGGATGGCTAGCGTCGCACTGTACCATCTTCTGCCGAGCAGCCATGAGATGTGGATGGCATGCAGTCCTTCTGCACCGTCTGCTGCCAGCCAAAGATGTAAAAGATAGATGGAGTGGGTCAAAACAAGAAATAGACCAGATTTGTTTTGTACTCATTTGCCTCCTCCCCTGTCTAGGGGACTCATTCCTCTAGGTCACACTGCAGTCACTCACAGAGAAGGTGCAGCGAGGTAAATCTAGCCATGTATCAATCAGAGGCCAGGCTAACCTCCTTGTTCCAATAACAACGATAACTTAGGTGCACCATTTCTTATTGGAACCCTCCGTGCAGTCCTGCCTGAAATACTCCTTGATGTACAGGCACCCCCTTTGTTGATTTTAGCTCCCTGAAGCCAACCCTGTAAGCCGTGTCGTCAGTCGCCCCTCCCTCCGTCAGAGCAACGGCAGACAATCGTTCCGCGCCTTTTTTCTGTGCGGACGCCATACCACGGCAAGCATGGAGCCCGCTCAGCTCACTTTGGCAATTAGGAGCACATTAACCACCACACGCATTATTCAGCAGTATATGCAGCACCAGAACATGGCAACGCGATACCGGGCGAGGAGGCGACGTCAGCGCGGTCCCGTGAGTGATCAGGACATGGACACAGATTTCTCTGAAAGCATGGGCCCTGACAATGCATGCATCATGGTGCTAATGGGGCAGGTTCATGCTGTGGAACGCCGATTCTGGGCTCGGGAAACAAGCACAGACTGGTGGGACTACATAGTGTTGCAGGTCTGGGACGATTCCCAGTGGCTACGAAACTTTCGCATGCGTAAGGGCACTTTCATGGAACTTTGTGACTTGCTTTCCCCTGCCCTGAAGCACATGAATACCAAGATGAGAGCAGCCCTCACAGTTGAGAAGCGAGTGGCGATAGCCCTGTGGAAGCTTGCAACGCCAGACAGCTACCGGTCAGTTGGGAATCAATTTGGAGTGGGCAAATCTACTGTGGGGGCTGCTGTGATGCAAGTAGCCCACGCAATCAAAGATCTGCTGATATCAAGGGTAGTGACCCTGGGAAATGTGCAGGTCATAGTGGATGGCTTTGCTGCAATGGGATTCCCTAACTGTGGTGGGGCTATAGATGGAACCCATATCCCTATCTTGGCACCGGAGCACCAAGCCGCCGAGTACATAAACCGCAAGGGGTACTTTTCGATAGTGCTGCAAGCTCTGGTGGATCACAAGGGACGTTTCACCAACATCAACGTGGGATGGCCGGGAAAGGTGCATGATGCTCGCATCTTCAGGAACTCTGGTCTGTTTCAAAAGCTGCAGGAAGGGACTTTATTCCCAGACCAGAAAATAACTGTTGGGGATGTTGAAATGCCTATATGTATCCTTGGGGACCCAGCCTACCCCTTAATGCCATGGCTCATGAAGCCATACACAGGCAGCCTGGACAGTGGTCAGGAGCTGTTCAACTACAAGCTGAGCAAGTGCAGAATGGTGGTAGAATGTGCATTTGGACGTTTAAAGGCGCGCTGGCGCAGTTTACTGACTCGCTTAGACCTCAGCGAAACCAATATTCCCACTGTTATTACTGCTTGCTGTGTGCTCCACAATATCTGTGAGAGTAAGGGGGAGACGTTTATGGCGGGGTGGGAGGTTGAGGCAAATCGCCTGGCTGCTGGTTACGCGCAGCCAGACACCAGGGCGGTTAGAAGAGCACAGGAGGGCGCGGTACGCATCAGAGAAGCTTTGAAAAACAGTTTCATGACTGGCCAGGCTACGGTGTGAAAGTTCTGTTTGTTTCTCCTTGATGAACCCCCCCCCCCTTGGTTCACTCTACTTCCCTGTAAGCTAACCACCCTCCCCTCCTCCCTTTAATCATTGCTTGCAGAGCCAATAAAGTCATTGCTGCTTCACAGTCATGCATTCGTTATTCATTCATCACACAAATAGGGGGATGACTACCAAGGTATCCCAGGAGGGGTGGTGGAGGAGGGAAGGAAAATGCCACACAGCACTTTAAGCACAGCACTTTAAAAGTTTACAACTTTAAAATTTATTGAATGACAGCCTTCTTTTTTTTTGGGCAATCCTCTGTGGTGGAGTGGCTGGTTGGCCGGAGGCCCCCCCCACCGCGTTCTTGGGCGTCTGGGTGTGGAGGCTATGGAACTTGGGGAGGAGGGTGGTTGGTTACAGAGGGGCTGCAGTGGCAGTCTGTGCTCCAGCTGCCTTTGCTGCAGCTCAACCATACACTGGAGCATACTGGTTTGGTCCTGCAGCAGCCTCAGCATTGAATCCTGCCTCCTCTCATCACGCTGCCGCCACCTTTGAGCTTCAGCCCTGTCTTCAGCCCGCCACTTACTCTCTTCAGCCCTCCACTCTCTTCACCCTCCACCTCCCTCCCGGTCATTTTGTGCTTTCCTGCACTCTGACATTATTTGCCTCCACGCATTCGTCTGTGCTCTGTCAGTGTGGGAGGACAGCATGAGCTCGGAGAACATTTCATCGTGAGTGCGTTTTTTTTTTCTTTCTAAGCTTCACTAGCCTCTGGGAAGGAGAAGATCCTGTGATCATTGAAACACATGCAGCTGGTGGAGAAAAAAAAAAGGGACAGCGGTATTTAAAAAGACACATTTTATAAAACAGTCGCCACACTCTTTCAGGGTAAACCTTGCTGTTAACATTACATACATAGCACATGTGCTTTCGTTACAAGGTCGCATTTTGCCTCCTCCCACCGCGTGAACGGATTTTGGTTGAATGCCAGCAAACATACACTGCAATGCTTTGTTCTACAGTGATTCCCCAGTACGTGTTGCTGGCCTGGAGTGGTAAAGTGTCCTACCATGAAGGACGAAATAAGGCTGCCCTCCCCAGAAACCTTTTGCAAAGGCAGAACCGCAAATGCCAGGGCAAAGTAATCCTTTCACATGCTTGCTTTTAAACCATGTATAGCATTTTAAAAGGTACACTCACCAGAGGTCCCTTCTCCGCCTGCTGAGTCCAGGAGGCAGCCTTGGGTGGGTTCGGGGGGTACTGGCTCCAGGTCTAGGGTGAGAAACAGTTCCTGGCTGTCGGGAAAACCGGTTTCTCCGCTTGCTTGCTGTGAGCTATCTACAACCTCCTCCTCATCATCTTCTTCGTCCCCAAAACCTACTTCTGTATTGCCTCCATCTCCATTGAAGGAGTCAAACAACACGGCTGGGGTAGTGGTGGCTGAACCCCCTAAAATGGCATGCAGCTCATCATAGAAGCGGCATGTTTGGGGCTCTGACCCAGAGCGGCTGTTTGCCTCTCTGGTTTTCTGGTAGGCTTGCCTCAGCTCCTTCAGTTTCACGCGGCACTGCTTCGGGTCCCTGTTATGGCCTCTGTCCTTCATGCCCTGGGAGATTTTCAGAAAGGTTTTGGCATTTCGAAAACTGGAACGGAGTTCTGATAGCACGGATTCCTCTCCCCAAACAGCGATCAGATCCCGTACCTCCCGTTCAGTCCATGCTGGAGCTCTTTTGCGATTCTGGGACTCCATCATGGTCACCTGTGCTGATGAGCTCTGCATGGTCACCTGCAGCTTGCCACGCTGGCCAAACAGGAAATGAGATTCAAAAGTTCGCGGTTCTTTTCCTGTCTACCTGGCCAGTGCATCTGAGTTGAGAGCGCTGTCCAGAGCGGTCAGAATGGAGCACTCTGGGATAGCTCCCGGAGGCCAATACCATCGAATTGTGTCCACAGTACCCCAAATTCGAGCCGGCAACGTCGATTTAAGCGCTAATCCACTTGTCAGGGGTGGAGTAAGGAAATCGATTTTAAGAGCCCTTAAGTCGAAATAAAGGGCTTCATTGTGTGGACGGGTGCAGGTTTAAATCGATTTAACGCTGCTAAATTCGACCTAAAGTCCTAGTGTAGACCAGGGCTAAGTAATCAGCGCTCTGTGACTTGTTCCTCCCTGCCCCTCCCATTCGTGGAGCAGCAGACATGGTACCTGTTTGGGGCCCCCTCAAGCTGCAGCCTCAGTGCACCATTTGGTACTCTGCCTATAGCTTGAGGTTGATGCCATTGACATGCTGTTGCAGCAGTGGAGGGGGAACCACGGGGGGCCAAAACAAGGTGGAAATGATCAGAAAGATGCCAGTATGGCAAATGGCCTCAAATCTGAGTAATCTGCAATCTGAGTAATGCATAAGGTGGCCTGTGATTTCAGGAGGCCACACGGCAAGCCATATTATAGAGGAGGGTGGCTACACTCTACTCCATTTTCTTTAGCGGTCCTCAGCTGTAGCCATTGCAATCCCCAATTGGGCCAATTTTGCATGTCTTTGCCATACAGATGCAGTATATCTGCAGCAATTAAACTGGAAAATACAGCAGGATACCACATTTGGCTACTGAACTGATAAGTTAATGTCATGCAGTTGGCCATCACTGAGTTAATTGATCCTCTTGGGGGAACTCTCAAATGTCACAGACAAAAAAACGTGGTTTAGACTTGGGATTATTTGCTCATTTGTAAATCACTCCTCGTCCCCACTGATTAAAATATACTGCTTTAATACACTTTTGAGGCCAATGAGTAAGTCTAAACTGCCCAGCTGATATGGGGAACAGGAAAGATGGGAATTAATTGATTAGATAGTCTCCACTATCAGATTTTTCTCTCTGGAAATGCAAAAGGGAATAGTTTTTTGGTAGAAAACTGGCTTATTTCAATGCAGAACATCAGGTGATTGACTTTTTCACTTATCCACTGCCTCCATAGCAATCACAATTTACAAAAAAAAGATCAAAAAATGCTCTAAAAAACAGGGAGAAAGACAAGCTATTTAAAACTGCAGGAGTCATTTATAGTGTTAGCTATATTAGGATACATAGAATCCATCACAGAACAAACAACCAGGTACTCAAATGCTACAGAGATGAGGACCATATCAGTACCCAAAGTGAGAAGGATTGTGAGCTTCTTAAGGTAATTCTGCTGCCAACAAAATGTTAGTGCGCAAAAGAAATGTGGCAGACAAGATCTCCACAATTCTTTCTTACGGTAGTGTCATCTCTAAGATCTCTAGGATCTAGCCCATGGGCCGTAGTTTGCCCACCCCGGTATAGGGTAACCATTAAGAAAAAAATAACACGGTACATGGCTGCTTTTAACATTTTCGATCCTTAAGAATAGTTCTGGCAAGATTTCAAACTTTGCAACCTACATGTTCAAGCCTTTTGGTTGTGAGAAGTGTCTATAAGATGACTGCCTTATGGTATATGTTTTCAAAGTCTTTACTGATCCTTGGCAGTAATACCAGCATCCACAGATTCAGAAAGAACTTTTGGCTCCTGTTTCTGGCCATGATAAACTTCATGAATATATTTATGCCCAGAGGGTAACTGAGGTTGAAATCGGCCATAAGTTTTTGAAGGCCACTTTTTTAAAAAAATTTACTTTTGTATCCATTCCCTATGATTTTGCAAAGTTTGTGTATGAGGCTTCAAAAACACTCAATGCCGTTCAGTATAAGCCTGGCAAATAATGGACTCATTATTGCTGATGTTTTCTTTAAATTTGTCATGACTAGTATTATTTTCTTTTGATGAATGTGATCAAGGATTTCATGTTTAATTTTATGCCAGTTGTGTTTCTATTTACCAGTGAACTGGGACGAAGTGAAGCAAACATTTCAGGCATATACTGTCTCACAGACACAGAAAGAATTGCTATGTAAGTGGCCTGAAAGGAGATTACAGATTTTGTCACATAGGCAGTAATTGTAGCTTGTTTGAAGAGAACAGAAATATTATTATCCTCTATGATGGATGAAAGATTTCAAATGGTTTATAAATGATCACTCAGATAATGCACCTAGTAGAAATGAGCTAGAGATATTGGGCCAGATTCTAAGACAATGTAAAAAAGCATAGCTCCATTGAAGTCAATAGAACTATAACAATCAAGAATCTAGCCCCATTATCTTCTAGCCAGGTGTTGAGAAGTGGCTGAATTCTGCCTTCAGATACAGATGTGAACTTCCATTTACTTCAGTGGAAACTCTGTGTGTGTGTGTGTGTGTGTGTGAGTGAGTGAGTGAGTGAAGGGAGAATTTGTCCCGGGCCTTGAATGGGATATAGCCAGCACAAACCAAATTGTGTGAAAGAGTCCCTTGTGCCTGAAGTACAGGGAACATCCATGGTTTAGTGGCAATAAGAGCTGATCGTCTGCAGTACAAAGTTGTGATTACTGAACTCCACTTGATTGCTGTTTTTTGTTTTGTGAAATTAACATCTACGTGTTGGAAAACAATTGGTGGCTATCACCTGGCATGAATTAGAATTCTTCTTTATGACTACTTTAATTTCACAGTATGATGGAGGATGATTTATTTATAGGAGTACCACCTAGAAGTTGTAATCATGGATCAAGACCACCTTGTGTGAGGTACTATACAGGTGAGTAAAGCAAAAACAATTCCTGCCCTAGAGAGCTAACTAATCTAACTGTACATCTGGATTGTGTCATCAGGCACAAGTCAAAGACCAGGTAGCTTTAACTACCCAAGTTGTTCTATGATTTCCTAGAAACAAACAGCTTGGAGTATCTCATTGTTAGAGAGAGTATTGGGGTATTACATCGTGTGAAAGCAAAATGACTAAGAAATGGGAGACAGTGATTGGACACTTCACTCCAGCTTTAGACCCTGGCAGTATCTTCATTCACCATGAGAGTGGATATGAAAAAAGCAACATGCAAAGTGACTAGAAAATGATTCCTGTGTACATCACTGTTAACAGATGGCAGCTCCAGTAGCTCTTGCTATTTGCAGACCTGTGCATCTCACCTCAGCTACCACTGGGACTTCCTAGCTCCACAATGCACTGCTATGGTCTGCTGCACTGTATGTAGTTTAGGCCATTGAACTCTGGTGCACCAGAAAATTCTGTTTCTCCTTTATACTGTATTGTCGCAAGTTGTACGTAAATTGATAGAGGTTAAGGCCAGAAGACTCCATTAGATCTAGTCTGACCTCTTGTATATCATAGGCCATTAAATTTCACCCATTTACTCCTGTATTGAGCCCAATAACTGTGACTAAAACATCATTTGTGGTTTGGCTAAAGCATATTTTGTAGAAAGGCATACAGTCTTGATTTGTAAGACATTGTCTTCAGCCTTCAAATCATTTTTGTGGCTCTTCTCTGGACTCTCTCCAATTTTTCAACACCTTTTTTAAAATGTGAGTACCAGAACAAGACTCCCTGACTGGACACACTAATGCCAGATACAAAGATAGGAGTGGGGTTTTTTTAGAGCTCATTGGGAATTTTTCTACTAATATTTTTTGTCAGACAAATGCCAATTTGTCAAAACGAAAACTGAATGGATCAGTTCTGACAAATTTCCCAATTTGGGGGAAAAAATTGTGAAATTGTCAAAAAAAATGCCATTTTGACATTTTCAAAATGAAAAGTTTTACTTTTTGGTTCAAGACGACTTTTCATTTTGAAATTTTAGTTCATTTATACAGAAGAGATTTAAATGTCAAAGTTGAAACAAAACATTTTGATTGACCTGAACCAAAAAAATATTTGCCTTATCAGTGCATGAACACTTGCAAAACTTTGACTTTTTGTCCTGATTCGGGGGGATTTTTAAAAAATCTTTAAAGTTCTTGCAGGATAGGAAAACCATTTCCCACCCAGACATGCTCTTTATTCATCCCAAGATTACGTTAGCCCTTTTTGCCATAGCATCACACTGGAAGCTCATGACACCTAAATCCCTTCAGAGTCACTGTAGGTGTGGCCTGCATTTCTTTTTCCTAGATTTGTAACGTAGTATTTGGCTATATTAAAACACATTTTGTTTGAATGGGGCAAGATAACCAGGCAATCCAGATGACTCTGTATGACTGCCCTTACCACTCCACCTATCTTTGTGTCATTTGCAAATTTTATCTGCAATGCTTTTATATTTATTTCCAGTTCATTGATGAAAATACTGAACGGCATTGGGCCTAACTCTCATCCCTCTGGAACCCCACTAGAAATACCCCCATTAACAATTACTTTTATGGATTAGTCAGTTAGCCAGTTCTTAACCCATTTACTGTGTGCTATATTGATATTGTACAGTACAAATGTTGTGCAGTACTAAGTCAAACACCATACAACAGTCTCAATTACTTTTATCCACCAAACTAGCAATCTCAAAGAATGAAATCAGGTTTGTTTGACCAGACTTAATTTTTCATTAAGCCATTTTGACTGACACTAATTATATTCCTACCTTTTTAATTCTTTCTCAGTTGAATCCTGTGTCAGCTTTTCCATTATTTTGGCTGGGATTGATGTCAGCCTATGGTTACCAATATCATCCCTTTTGCCTTTTTTGAATACTGGAACAACATTAACACTCTTCCAGTCTTCTAGAATATTCCAAGATTTACTAAAATTTAACATCAGCAGGCCAGAGATCTCCTCAACCAATTCTTTTCGGATTCTTGGTTACCAGTTATCTAAGCATGTTGATTTTAAAATATTCATCCCAAGTAAATGTTGTTTAACATTCTCCTTAGTTACTAATGGACTGGAAAGTACTTCATTAGCCTCATGTGATGTGAATAAATCACCCTGCTTCTTTCCCAATACATAACAGAAATGTTTATTGAACACTTCTGCCTTTTTTGTATAATTTTTAACAACTTTATCCTCTCCATGCAGTAGTAAGCCTACACCATTTCTAAGATTTCTTTTGTGCCTAATATACCTAAATTCCTTATTGTGCTTAGCCCTGTCAGACTTGGATTTTTCCCTGATGTCCCTAGCTTCCCTTATCAGTTTTCTATACTTTATAACTTTTCATTATATTGATTGATATTTCCCCTTTTCCATTTGTAATATATATATAATTTCTAATTGCTGCCTTCACTTTGCTACTGAACCAT